ACAATAGTTCAGGCTTGTTTTATTTTTCAGCAACAGGGAGACAAAAATCACTGTCAGATTTAAGAAATTAGAGATAGTATGTAAAGCAAAGTGGCATAGGAGAGCCTACAAGCTACCCTCTGATCCTACCAGAGAATACATTGGTGTATTATTTTGAATCTGGAAGCAAAGAGTGCTTTGGTTCTATATGAGAGCCATACGGTCCAATTTGCATATTTCCCCAATACTGTACATCTGTCTTTTCTCCCTCCTGAGGAAACACACATATACAGAAAACAGGTGCTCACTCCACACAATTCAAAGCACTGACCAACCATACTGGCTCATTTTAAGACACATTGACATGTGCATATAATACTAGCTACTGCACTGAAGTACAATAATGAATATATAATATTAATATAATAATGTTGATTCTGACTTTAATAAGCTGTCTCACATATTTTTAAAATCTCTCACATTTTTCACTTTTTTAACTAATACTTTTCATGTATAAAATTTTCTGTCCTTCCAAAGACAAGCCTAACTCTTGCAGAGGTAGCATTCAATCTCACAAAGTTTGACAATATAGAAATATAGCATGTAAACCAAAAATATAACCTTAACTTCATGGTACAATATAAAATATATTCTATGTTTTCAATTATAGCAACACAATTGAGCCTAATTGTTACACACCTCAATCTTAATATGATTGCATTACTAAGAGCACAATCCCAAATATCCTTAATAGGAGCTTAGAAGGCTTAACTCTTGAGAAATCATGTGAAGACTTAATTTACAGCACAATTAAAAAGCTCAGAAATACTGTATGTTTTGTATTTGCTGAGTCTAGTTCAGATAGCATGCATACACAAATATATATTAATAAAAAGTATCTATTTAAGACCACAGTTTATCTAGCCAACTAATCTTTAAGAAAAAAATTAATGTAAATATCAGAGAACATGTCTAACTATATTTTTAAAACTACAGTATTTGAAATTCTTTATTCTCTTCATCATCAAAACCTTAGGAAGATTTGTGTTCTGATTAATCTATGCAAAAAGAGCTTATCACATGAAGTACAACTACAATTAAGAGCTCAGTTGACATTTTATCACCAGGAGAAGAATTTAATTGCTTTATATGATAAGTTAAGGTGCTTACTTTCTATGAAGTAAAAGAATAATTTCACTGGCTTTAAAAGTATTTTTGCTTATAGTGGTCAATCTTTACAAAATGATAAACAATGCATTATTTCTACTAAAGAATATTAAAATTAAATGCTACTGTGCAAGAAATATTAACATTGTATACACTTATTAGGCAAGCCTTTGGAGATTTGAGTTCAACTGTATTTAGGGGAGTATCTATAGGACTGATGCATTACTGGCATATAAAGCACCATTGTGGGGGGGGGGAGGACAGAAAAAAATGTATGCTTTAACTTGAATATACTTTAACTTAAATAAACTATCTTCCATAATCAAGGTGTTTGGCTCTTACTAATTGCCAAATAGGATCAGTTCACTCCTTTTTAAGAAGGAGATCTTCAGTTGGTTCTCTGCACAGTTGTATAATCCACTGGGTTTTTTTAGTTTCCATATTAATATAGGGATCTAATTTCTACAGCAGCTGAATTAATTTGTCACAGAATCCAGAGACATGAACTCAAATCAGGCTACTTGTACCATATGATCTGCTTTAAATACCTATCTGGATTAACTTAATTTATAAAAACAAGAACAAAAAAACACATTACCAAATTACAGAGCAAATGAGATATTAATTGATCAGATACAATTGTTAATACCACTTTATAATGCCTTGGTAACGCCACACTTGGAATACTGCATTCAGTTTTGGTCGCTATGATATAAAAAGATGTGGAGACTCTAGAAAGAGTGCAGAGAAGAACCACAAAGATGATTAGGGAACTCGAGGCTAAAACATGAAGAACCATTGCAGGAACTGGGTATGTCTGGTTTAAAGAAAAGAAGGACTAGGAGAGGCATGATAGCAGTGTTCCAATATGTCAGGGGTTGCCACAAAGAAGTGGGAGTCAAGCTATTCTCCAAAGCACCTGAGGATAGAACAAGAAGCAATGGAAACTAATCAAGGGGAGAAGCAACTTAGAACTGAGGAGAAATTTCCTGACAGTTAAACAATTAATCAGTGGAACAAATTGCCTCCAGAAGTTGTGAATGCTCCAATACTGAAAGTTTTTAAGATGTTGGATAACCATTTGTCTGAAATGGTATAGCGCTTCCTGTCTAGGCAGGGGGTTGGACTAGAAGAGCTCCAAGGTCCCTTCCAACTCTGTTATTCTAAGTAAATTGAATGAAAAAAGGAACTGCACAATGAAGCAGCAGAACCATTCCAATTTCACATGTTTGATTTTATCTAAAAGTGATATATAACATTTAGAACAAAACTGTATCATGTTTCTATTCAAGAGGTTACTTTTTCTACTGCCTTCACATGAGAAATTGCCCATCTATATGCCAGTAGACAAAGATTTTTGTTTTCCTCATTTGTGTCCCAGCAATCTATTCTTATGAAGTTTCTTTTACATCTCATATTGCTCAGTTGGGTGGATTCCTTAAGTTGTTCAGAGAAAATTGCAGCTCTATGGTATTTAGATTTTTGAAATTAAAACTGGTAATGCCGTATCACTATTATAATACTGGCAATTTTCATTAAGAAAAATTTTCCATCAAGAAGAAAGAATGATTCCCTAGTCAGAAAGAGCAGAGAGTTGAAAAATGGAGGCTTTTATGTACAGGAATTTAACAAGCTTAAGACATGTTAAAGCCAAATATAAAATATTTAAAGCAGGGGTAGTCAACCTTTTTATACTTACCGCCCCCTTTTGTATCTCTATTAGTAGTAAAATGTTCTAACCGCCCACCGGTTCCACAGTAATTGTGATTTATAAAGTAGGGAAGTAACTTTACTTTATAAAATTTATAAAGCAGAGCTACAGCAAACCCCTACCGCCCACCATGAAAGCTGGAACGCCCACTAGTGGGCTGTAGGGACCAGGTAGTGACTACCACTGATTTGAAGTATGCTTATGAAATCAGAATAAGTTATAAAATGAAGTCTACTTTAAAAGATGAACAAATTTTCACTTACAAGTTTGAAACTTGTAAACAATTATGTTTTTCAAGCTCAGGAAATGAGAAACTAGCACTTGCAAGGTAAGCAGGATTTAATAAGAGAACTAAACTCAGGAAAACTGGGAATGTGGTAGTCAAAATATAGGCTTTAAAAAACTTCTTAAAGCAGGACAAAAATCTCCAGTTCTCAAATAAAAACCAAAGAATTTCAATTAAATGTTATAATTATAACATTTAATAAACATTAGTGAAAAGTGGGGAGCTATACACTATGTTCAACGAAAAACAGAAATAGCAATGGAACTACTCTGAATTTCCAAAACAAATGATAAGAGTAACCTAACATTTTTGCTTTAAGACCAAGAATGGAAGCAGCAACCCTAATTATTTTCCTAGAATAAGTAGCTTTGGACATTCTCTCAACATAAGCCTTTACATAACAAAAGTATTGTTATAATGTTTCATTGCCTATTGAAACTAGTGTATTTATATTTATTCCAGTAAAGCTCTTTTGAGGTCAGCAGACACTTGCTTTTGAATCAACATCCAGGCACAAAGCTTTTTGTTATTTAAAAGGTATACAGTGTAATTGTCTATGGAGATTCTCAGTCATCCAGGTCATGATTGTCCCCAAAGGTGCTTTTTCAAGAGGCAAACTGGACTTTCTGGTTTTTCTTGGGAGACATTTGGATGAGAAGTGAAACCTCTTCCAAGAAAAACCAGAAAGTCCAGTTTGTCTCTTGAAAAAGCACCTTTGGGATATACAGTCTAATGTTAATTTTTCCACACACGACTGCAGCTTCATCAATCGGAGATAAAAGATTTTACAAGTATAATCTTTATTGTCATTGTACTTAAATACAACGAAATTGGTTTTGATTCATGACTACGATAATTCGGATATGATATACATGACCACGCCTTTTCATGTAAACATTGTCCAAGTTTTAAAATGTATTTCCTCTTGAACCGATTTTAATGTACGTTAAGGTGGCTCCAAACCGGCTGAGGACTGAAGGTTAAACTGCAGAGTTCCCCTCAAAGTTGTCACGACTAACCGCACTCATCCAAGCATTCTCAGTTTACAAAGAAAGTGATCCATCGGAAGAGTAAATGAAGTCTCAGATTCCCAGCCCAGCACACCAGTCGGGTGTGACTTTAAAGCAAGGGTCTCCAACCTTGGCAACTTTTAAAACTTGGGGACTTCAATCCCCAGAGTTCCTCAGGTTTGCCAAGGTTGGAGACCCCTGCTTTAAACGTTGTGTTCCTGCTTTCTAGTCCTGAGCGGTTACAGAGGAAGCGACTAAATAAACCGACCCCCCCCCGGGCTTTCGGTAGTCTCGAAACCATACTAGGGCCTCCTCGCGCTTCCACTCAAGTCATCCCCTCCCCCTCCCCCTCTCCCTGCGCCGCCAGCTCTCCTCTGACCTCAATTCTAAACCCGGCCAGCCTTACCCTCCAGAGACCGGCGGCGCTCTCATTGGCTTGTTGACGGAGGCGGAACGGTGTCCGACAGGAGGAGCTAGCGCAGAGAAACCGGAAGAGATTTCATCCTTTGGTTTGTTTTTTTCTGTCCTGCCTTTTGTTTGTTGTAATATCCGGTGGTTAGGGAGGGAATTACGGCGAAAGGATACAAGCTTGGGGAAAGACGCACTCGAGGCAACTTGGCTGCCAGAGCGTAACCCGAAAGAGAGAGGGGGGGGGGAGAGGAGGAGGCGCTGTCTCCGTCGCGTGGGGGTGTGGGCGAAAGCGCTGGGAGAGATTCTAGAGGCGTTTGCGTTGCGTGCGGCGGCGGTTGAGAGAACAAGAGCAAAGGAGATTGGAAGGGGGAGTAGAGGAAGCGAGACCGCCGAACCTCCTCCTTGTATGGCTCCGCCCACTTATCTGAGGGAGGCGGGGGAAGGCACAGGAAGTACGAGCGCTTAAGGCGGCGGGCGTCATCATCTCCATCACCTCTCCTGCGGCGGGGGAGACGAGAATCTATCTCGGCTGGTGAGTTTCTCATTCTCATCTACCACCCCCACCCCCACTTTTGTTGGAAGAGACCAGCAGCTGCCATCATTGAGAGTCGCTGCTTTTCCTGGAATAACTCTTTACTCCCAATCTATTTTTCTGCCAACTTTCTCCAACGAAAAATAGGGAGGGGCGGTAAACGGAGGGGAGTAGAGGGGGCTGTTTCCCGGTAGGGAATAACTTTTCATTTCATTTTTAATAAATATATTGTTTGATGGCAGGGGGGGGAAGAAATTTTAAAAAATGGTTGAGGAGTATATTATGCCAATTAATTTCTCGTCTCTCTCTTCCAATAGACAAAATGCTCTCTTGAAGGCAAGTCTTGTCGTGCCTAGGGTAGGAAAGAAGATGCGTATTTTCCGTTCTCGCGGATTGCCGAAGTTTTCAACCACCAAGGAAAGGAGGGTGGTGGCATCTGACGCGATGTTAAGCAGTCTGTGCTGTTGAATAAGGAGGGGCAGATCTTGAATACAGCTGCCTGCTTTTTTGCACACATGCTCACCATTTAATATTGGATCCTTTATCTGGAAGAATCTAGTGGGCTTTTTTTGTTTTGTTTTGTCGCTCCTCAACATTCAGACTGTTAGGAGCAATACATCTTTTGGGGAAAGTATCTCTGGAGCCTGGCCATATGTGTTGAGTGAGTAGAAGAACTTAGTGAGAAATTATATGATTATTAGGTTGTTAAACCTACAGCGATAAACTTGTGGGAAACTGCATGTGAGAAACCGCATGTGGCTGGCTGCTACTTGTTCTGGTTGTGAGGTTGGATTATTGTATGCCGAATCAAAAATCTAGACTACAAATTGTCCCTATCCACGCCTTTCTTAGCATCGTTGCTGACGCATAGCAGCGAAGTCACACTTTTGTACAGTTTTTCTTTTAGACCATAACAGCAGACACAACAACTGCTTAATTTTTTTCTGAATATTTTTAAAATAGTTTTTTAACTAAAAAGGGCAAATATGTCCTTTTTTAACTTCCGTAAAATCTTCAAGTTGGGAGGTGAAAAGAAAAAGAAACAGTATGAGCATGTCAAGAGAGATTTGAATCCAGAGGACTTTTGGGAAATCATAGGAGAATTGGGTGATGGTGCTTTTGGCAAAGTATTTAAGGTAAGGAATGCTTCTTATTTGATGCTGTTTTGGTAAATTGTATTTTTCTGGGCCCTCTTACATATGAATTTAACAACACCATAAAATTCATAATCCATAGAATAATGAGTGTTGGGCTATCATGATACAGTAAAAATTATGGATTTCTCTTGGATATAAGTAGCTATCAAAATTAGTGATAAGTCAATTTTTATTTATTTATTAACAAACATGTAAAATACACACACACAAAACTTAGATGTACACCACATTTACACAATACAATACGAACAGGAACTTCCTCTTCTTTCTAATCGATACCGCTCACATTATATTATTTCCTCTTCTATTGTATTTCATTTGGATTTCACCATTCTTAATCCTCTTATTTTCCTC